TCAAGAAATCGAACCTTGTAGTGCATTAGGCAAATCTGCTTTACAAGACCTCTTTAAAATGTTGAAGAGCGAAGATATCAGTTTGAGGACTAAGGTGCTCCTGACCCAAGCCATGATGTTCTCAGTAACTTCATATGGATGCAAAAGTTGAACAGTAAATAAGGAAGACCATAAAAGAATTGATGCATTTGGGTGATGGTGTTGGAGGAGAATATTGTAAGTACCATGGACTGCCAAAAGAATAAACCAATCTGTGTTGGGAGAAGTATTCATTCATCAGAATGCTCCCTAGAAGTTGGATGGCCAGACTTCATCTCTCATGCTTCGGACATATTATCAAGAGGGATCAATCCATGGAGAAGGATATCTATCATGTTTGGTAAACTTGGAGGGTCAGAGAAAAAGAGGAAGCCCCCCCCCCCAACAAGATGGATTGGCACAGTGGCAGCAGCATTGGGCCCAAATATAGCAATGATTATGAGGCACAAGGAGTCTTGGTGTGGCTCTGTGGTTACTGCGCTAGACTGCAAAGCCATTTGAACTGCAAGGTTGGCAGTTCAAGCTCACCAGCTGCTCCTCGGAAACGCTACATAGGGTTGCTGTGGGTAAGAACTGACTCGACGGCACTTAACGACAGTGAGGCACAAGACCAGGCAGAGTTTTGTTCTGTTGTGCATAGGATCGCTATGAGCTGGTACCGACTTGGCACCTAACAACAACAGTGTATGTATGTGAAAATCCAAAGCCTAACCTTCAGGAGGTGACTTATTGGACACAGAAAACAAGGGAATCTCCTCCCACAATCCCCACGATGGCCACAGGCCAGACTACAGAAGCAGGGAAAGACTACTGATGACAGGAAAGCTTGTAACATTGAAACTCAGGATGTTGAGGTATCACTTACAGCCTTATGACCCCATCTGGTACTCCAGTTTCTACTAAGGAGTGTGTCCAGGCAAGTCTCTTTGAGAGGGAAACTGCCTCCTCCACCCTGTGCTCACTGAGAGAGTAGCCTTCATTCACTCAGATGCACTCCGCCTGACATCAGCAGTTTGGTTGTTAGAGAGGCTGGTAGTAGTACTCAAGAAATGTTGCCTCCAACTTAATGTCAAGATGTGATTTAATGTCTCATTGTGATTGCAGTTGTCCTTGAGCAAAGTGCTTGCAGATTTCAGATCCCTGAAGCAGTACTTTACCCACGTGTGAACTGTACTGATAAACTAGTATGTGGTGTTCATTGAAATGTTCATGAATTTACTGAAATTACATGTGAAAGTTTATTATCATATCAAGTTAGATGTTAATTACTGTTAAAAGTAAAACTCAAAGGAATTGAGACATAAGGTTTATTCCTACAATGCTTATAGAAAGACCATTCCGATTCCAGATTTAAAACACATCTACATCAAGTTGATTGACTTACAGTGACTCTAAAGGACTGCCTCACAGAGTTTTCCAGACAGAATCTTTCAATGTTCCTATTCAAATATGATTACAATTTCTGTACTCTGTTGTTGTTAAGTGCTGTCCAGTCAGTTCTGGCTCAAAACAATACTGTGTAAGGTTCCCAAGGAACAGCTTGTGGGTTTGAACCATTGACCTTTCAGTTAACAGTCCAGTACTTTATCTGCAGTGCCACACCAAGACTCCTTTTAGGACTCTAATTCTGTTATTCAGGTCAGTTGCATAAGATTGGGATAAGAGAGCATAACTTTATTAGTAGAGAGCTGATGGGGTAGTGGGCAGACAGTGCACAATTTGTGTGAAGAATGTGTCATCATTTTTATGTGAAAATTTAACGTACAAATCTTCTTTTATAGGGTCTGGATTTAGGCAGTACTTTACATTGCTGCTCAGTGCTCGCCATAAAACTGAGATATGCCCACTGGTAAGCTTTTAAGGAAGTTATATCTAAAATTTACAATAAAGTATTTATTTTAATTTTAGAGTATTTTAAGGGTTTCCTTAACAGACTCATGAATTAAGTAGGTGTTATTGACCAAATGGTACTGAACGACGTCCAAGATCTACTGAAGGCATGGGCAAAGAACAAGGTTCCTCCAGGCATTGATGGAATGCAGACTGAAAATTTCCATGAACTGATGCAGCACTGGAGGCACTCACTCATCTATGCCAAGAAATGTGAAAGTCAGCTACCTGGCAGACTGATTGGAAAAGATCCATATTTGTGCCCATTCCAGAGAGAGGTGACCCAACAGAATGCGGAAATCATCTGGTAGTATCATTAATTGCACATGCGGTAAAATTTTGCTAAAGATAATTCAAAAATGGCTGCAGCAGTATATTGACAGGGCAGTGCCAGAGGTTCGAGCCAGATTCAGATGAGCATTTGGAACACAGGATATCTTTGTTATATCAGATGGATATTGGCTGAACGCAGAGAATACCAGAAAGATATTTGTTGTTGTTGTGAAGTGCTGTCGAGTCAATTCCGACCCATAGTGACCCTGTATAGGGTTTCTGAGGAGCAACTGGTGAGCTTGAACTGCCAACCTTGCAGTTCAAATGACTTTGAAGTTTGGCACAGTAACCCCACAGCGCCACACCCCTGTGCTTTATTGCCTGTGCAAAGGCGTTCAGCTGTGTGGATCATGACAGACTATGGATAACGTTGTGAAAAATGGATATTCCAGAACACTAAATTATGCTAATGAGGAACCTGTACATAGACCAAGAGGCAGTCATTCAGAGCAAGGAGACAAAGATTTAAAATCAGGAAAGGTGTGTGCCAGGGATGTATTCTTTTACCATACTTAGTCAATCTGTATGCTGAGCAAAGAATCCAAGAAGATGAATTATATGAAGAACATGGCATCAGGATTGGAGAAAGACTCATTAACAACCTGTCATATGCCTATGATACAACCTTGCTGAAAGTGAAGAGGACTTAAATACTAACTGATGAAGATCAAAGACTACAACCTTTAGTATGGATAGCACCTCAGAGTAAAGAAAATAAAGATTCTCACAACTGGACCAATAAATAACATCATAATAAATGGAGAAAATTTTGAAGTCACAGACTTCAGCTGGCTTGGATTCACTATCAACAGTCATGGAAGCAGCAGTCAGTAAATCAAATGATTTGTTGCTTTAGACCAGTCTGCTGTACAAGAGCTCTGTAAAGTGGTCAAGATCAAAGGTACCAGTTTGAAATTTAAGGTGTGCCTTTCTGAAGCCATGGTATTTTCAGTAGCCTCATATGCATTTGAAATTTGGATGATGAATAAGGTTGCATTTGAGTTTTGGTGTTGGAGAAGTATATTACAAGTACCATGGACTGCCAGAAGAACAAACAAATCTATGTTGGGACAAGTTCAACTAGAATGTTCCTTAAAAGCCAGTATGGCAAGACTTTGTCTTTCTTGCTTTCTACCTATTATTAGGAGGGACCAGTCCCTGGAGAACAGCATGATGCTTGGTAAAGTAGGAGGTTAGTGAAGGAGAGGAAACCCCCAGAGAGATGGATTGCCACAGTGGCAATGGGTTCACCACAACAATGATTGTAAGGATGGCACGGGACTGTGCAGTCATTCATTTTGTTGTGCATAATGTCACACAATAGCAACAACATTGATCAAATATTATTTGAGCTATTTGAATAGCTTGATATTAATTTTTATTTTGAACATTAGTGATTAAGTTTAGTGTGTTTTACAAGTTTAAGATGAAGCAAATTATAACAAGTCCTTGAGAGCTACGTATGACCATAAGTATATCCCACCTGAATTTAGAGACCATCCCAAGACTAGATTCAATGCATTGGACACTAATACTCAAAGGCCAGGTGAGTTGTGGGATGATGTCAAGGACATTATATGAGGGGGTTTCAAAATTGAATTATAATGAGATTTTTTAATGAACTTTTTGAAGCCCCTTCATACATGAAGAAAGCAAAAAGTTTCAAGGCCTTTCCAGGTACTTCTAACTTCTAAGCTTCCCCTGATAATCCCTTACCTGGCTGCTTAAATATTGCTTCTAAAGTGGTAAATTTTCTGACAATGTCATCCAAAACCCTATTTCTTATTTGATAGACTGTTCTTTTCCTCTGTAGCACTTAACAATAACTTGGAATTTTATATTTTTTTGTATAAATTTGAATATTGTCATCTCCTCCAAAGAGTTAGAGAGCTTGGTCCAAAAGGGACTAAGGGTTACAGGTGAAAGTTGTGTCAGCTAAGCAGGAGAGAAAGAACATTTTAAGAAGGAGGGAGTGGACAGTTGTTCTAATGCACATAGAGAACTCTCCCAGGCATTCACAGAACTGTGTTCTTTAGCACAATAATAATGCAGAGAGATGTGATAGTTTTTTTCTGGAAAATTGACTTAAGACATTCTATCTTTGGTAGTTGAGAGTGAAGCCAAAATAAAAACCAAAGTTCGCTTTGAAGAGTTGCTTAAGACCCACAATGATCTAATACGTGAAAGAAAAAAGCTGAAGAAAAAGATTGTCAAGTCGGGAGAAAGCATCTCAGTAAGTAATTGGTAATTTAGTAATGGTGATTTATGTTATCTGGCTGAAATTAAAATTAGAGAGTAAGTCTATATCATAGTTAGTAGTTCATGTTATACAGGGTCGCTATGGGTCAGAATTGACTCGATGGCACTTCACAACAACAACAAACACAGTCAAAGGCCTTTGCATAATCAGTAAAGCCACAAGTAAACATCTTTCTGATATTCTTTGCTTCCAACCAAGATCCATCTGATTGATGTTAGCAATGATATCCCTCATTCCATATCCTCTTCTGAATCCAGCTTGAATTTCTGGTAGTTCCTGTCCATGTACTATTATAGCAGTTTTAATATTATCTTTAGCATAATTTTACTTGCATGTGTTATTAATAATATTGTTCAATGATTTCTACATTCTGTTTGGATCCCTCTCTTTATAATGGGCACAAATATGGAATCTTCAGCTGTCTTCCAAATTTATTGGCATAGATGAGTAAGTACCTCTAGTGCTTC